ATTTTTGATCTTGATTGTTTACAATAAGAGTATTTACATAAGAAACAAAAACAGTTATTTTGAACAAAGCTAAAGAAAAAAAAAATCATATATATATGTATAAATAAATATATTCATATTGGGAGTGGGTTTGGAAACACAATTAGGTTTTCGCTTTTCCATCGTTTAATGTCGGTAAACAAACAGAAATTGGTAAAAAAAAAAATAGAAAATATGTACAATGCATGGTAATTAGATCAAACATGTTCATCATATTTTAATATATATATATATAACTTTGTTTTTTTTTTGTTTCTTTTAGTAGGTAAAAAAACATAATTTTACTTGCATGTAATTTGTATATATATATAATATATATTTTTCCATCGTCTAAAATAATCTATTAGTCTTTAGGTGCAACAATCAATAAAAATTTGCCTAAACCTAAACCGCACTGAAAAAATGACAGAGAAAAAAAAGAACAGATCCGCGGGGGCGTTGATCGGGATTGTAGGAGGCGTGATAGGAGGAGGAGTTAAGGATTAGAGATACGCCCTTTGCTCGCACAAATAAATACTTAATAATTACAAGGAAAATATAAAATAATTAAAAAAAAAACATTTGCTTGTTTATATATAATGTGTATATATATATATAGTATTTTTTTTAGTTTCCTAAAGAGAATAAAACGAAAAAGACGTACACGGCCAAAAAGAATTAATATCGCTTCTTTTGTTTCAACTGGACTAAAGTTATCGTAAATATTAAAATTGGTCCGTAGCGATGCGTCAAGAGTGCGTGTGTAAGTGTGTGTGAGAGAGAGAGAAAGAGAGAGGGTGGAAAGAAAACCCGCAAATTAGTGTAATTCCTTTTCTTTCGAAATCCAAAATATTCCGTTAATATATTTATACAGTCACTAACATTTTGTTCGTAAATTAAAAAAAAAATATATATAATAATAATAATAAAAATAAAAGAAACAGAGATAGAGAGAGAGAGAAATAGAGCGAAGAAAAGTGAAACAAATATGATATAAACGTTCGGAGGGTAAATTACAAAAAAAAAAAAACAGTGAAAATAAATATCGAACGCTTCTCGCTTCCAGTGTCCATCATCCCCATATATATATATATTTGTTTTTCTTTTTATACACAATGTCCACGCACTATTTCATAATGATTTCCATTTATTTCCATCCTTCGTGTACATTTATTTTCGCACCAATCCATGCGCTCCTCCCACATTCATCAATTACACTGTGTAAATATCAATACATATATATCTCTCTTTTATTATTACATTTCATCGTGTATTTTTTCCTTGCGTGTATATTCATCATCATCATCATTCATTCAATTGTTAAACTTATAATCTTTTTAAATAGTCTCAGTTATTATCTCCAACTAATGAGGTTTTGCGACGAGCCAGACGCTCAGCTCTAGTTATTGAAGCATCGCCAACTGGAATCAACAAGAAAATAAAACAAATTTCTGTTAATTACAACGACGGCATAATTCAGAAATGCTTTTTCTTTGTTATTTGCTGGAGGTAGGTAGTAAACACTCTCGACTTTTCAACCCGTGCACAACACAAGAACATTTGTTCCGCTCTCACAACAACTTGCTCCTCCGGCTCGATGATGCACATATATGTATTTTTTGTTTACTTTCGTTAAATCATCATCATCATCCGTCTTCTGTGTATGCTTATCATAATTATTATTATCATCTCATCATCATACTCTGTGTTTGTGTGTGTTCATTTTTTATTTATTTTTTTTTAAATATATATTTTATATTAATATATTTATGTATAGGTTATATACTACTATTATGGACATTATCCTAGGTTTATGATTTGAATTTCTCCTGAGTCTATCGTCGATCCTGCCAACGGAACTTCTTTTTTATCCAACGATCTACCTACATTAATTAATTTTGATTTTAGTTCACCAAATTCAACAAATACAAAATCCTAAACAACTATCATTATTATGTTATGTACAGCAAATCAATTCTGATCGAGCGAACGAAACAAAATTTTAATGATAATTGGACAACAAACAAAAACAAATTCTATTGATCCATGAAACATTTTCTATCGACAATTGCTTGTGCGATAAAAAACTACCCACAACAAATAAAATCAGTTTGAAATGTATCCTAGCTTAGTATGTTTTAGGTGTGTATAACTATTCAAAATGCAACGCAAAACAGTCGCTAAATTTATACATCATCATTCAATTAATAAACTTTTTAAATTATTAAAATAGTATCATTATCGACTATTTTGCATTGCATTTTTTTAAGAAACTGTACCAGTCAAATAATCTATATACAAAATTTAAAAAAAAATACTTAAAATTAGACGTATTTCTGGATTATATCGACAGGCGACAGTTTCTTAAATATATGATTAGAAGGGAAGACAGCAAAGAGGTGTACTTACTTTTACTTGTGCTAGGCGTGTTTTTACTGGTGGACGCGTGACCGTCCTTACTGGATCCGGCACCGTTCGACTTGGGCATCTGGGGAATGATCGTGATTTCGTCGTTGATCTTGAGCGGCTTCAGCAGCGATTCTCCCTTCGAGCTGGGAGGCGAAGAGTTCACAGGTTTCTTGTCGTTAGAACGTTTCGCCACGACACTATGCGCCGAATACACGTGATTCTCAAATTGTTTGTACATGCCGAAAGTGGCCGTGCACACCGTGCACTTGTACGAAAGGTGAGCAGGCTTCAATGTCATGCTGTGATCTCTGGCAACGTGATTAAGCAATTTCCATTGGTACACCTAAAAAGAAGCAAGCAATTTTCAATAAACACGTACTTTTCATTTCCTTCGAGATCGCCAATTTACCCTTCCGCAAACAGGACACCGTCCACTGTCTTTGCATTTGTTGGCGGCTTCCTGCATGCTCGATGTGACCAAACCGTGGGAACCGAGGAGATGCCTCTCCAGGCCCTGATCGGTGAAGAACCTGAACTGACATTTTTGGCAGTTCAAAGGTGGCCGATTGTATATCATCTTGGGGTGAATCTTGACTTTGTGTATCCACTGCATGTGGTTCCGCAGTTGCTCCAAGTCTTTGATATACCCGTCGCAGATCTCGCAGATAACGAAGGAGTTCTTCGAGTTCGAGTCGCCAGGTTTGGCACCCGCGACACCAGGTAGAGAGGAATTCGATAGAGATGACGCCGAAGAGCCACTACCTCCCGTTGGCCGTGGTAACGGCGTTATCGAGATGCTAGGCTGGTGAACTGTTTTCGACTTGCTCGACGAATTCTGCAAAATCGACATGAACAATTTATTAGACAATGAATACAGTTGAACAAACGTTACAAGAAACAAAAACATATGGCCATGCAGAAAAGAAAACTTGGAATTTAATAATAGACAATTCAGTCAAAAGGCCTGCTCTCTCACCAAACCCTCCGCGATTCTCTAGGATCAAACTACGATTTCTAAAACTATCTGTTTTTTCAGATAATCCGAAAAGTTTCTAACAGATTCTCAAAATTGATTCAAACATAAATATTTAAATTCCCGTTTAATTGAATCGCGTAAATGATGCGAAAGCAGCCTATAATTAATAAATATGCGTGTTTGATTCACATTAATAATAAAATTGTAATTTGACGATCATTAATTTGTAAATAATATATGAATCAAACTGTACTAATATAGTTATTTGCAATATATTGTGTGATTGAAGCATGCAAGTATTAGTTACTTCATGAAAATAACAATTGTTATTGAGTAAAGCACGTCCGAATATTAAGCAATATTATATATATATTATATTCAATTATTAAAAACAAAATTTTAAAAAAATCAAGTAAAATTGAAGTCTCCGGAGAATTGAAATCTACTTTGAAAAAGCTAAAATATTTGTTGCTTCCGGATACTACAATTCAACGTTTCTATTATTATGTAGAAGGGAAACCAAAAACCTTGGAGATGTGTTGTGTTAATGTAAAAATTGAATAAACAAAGAGATATAATGTTGTGGTACCTGAATGGATATTGTACCGGAGGTGGAGGACAAACTGGGTACAATACCCATGGGGCCACCTAGCCGATTGCCCATATCCTGACCACCAACGACCTAATACACACATACATATTTTGCAACTTTATTCAAGAAGCATTTGCATGCAATCGACTATGTTATGTTTGCTATAAAATACGACGCGATCTGCGACTTCCCCGTGTATTAAGAAAGAAAAAAAAAACCCGTTGGTTGTCTACAATTACATTTACATGAAGGAATTACGGGGGCGGCAGAGAACGTTGTATGTTATTCAACTTATCAAATAATAAATCTAAATGGCTTTTTTTTGTCGCGTTTGTAGTGTCGAAGAAGAAACTTGGTAGAGCTATACACACGTAGGAGATGGTCATTGTAGGAATGCCGGCGAATCTCAATTACGTAATGGATCGCTGACATTCTATTCTATCACGGCGGATGGATGGATGAGAAAAGTGCGAAGAATGAAAAGTTGTTACCTGGTACAGTTGATTTCCACTGATTTGGTAGTTTGTAGGTACAAGAACGGATGCACCACCTGGAACAGCCTGTTTGTATACGAGGCCCTGAGGGGAACCTTGTGATTGTTTCTTACTGGGCATGGGTAGACTGGGTCTGCCTCGTCCCCGATTCATCGCCGTCTGCTGGACTATCGAGGCTTGCTGTTGCTGCTGCTGCTGCATCTTCATGTAGTTCATCGACGAGTTCTTGGCCATCGCCTGGTACATTGCTGCCGTCGTCGTAAGGCTTTGCTGCTGCTTCATCCTCGGTGCCCTGGGTATCTTGGCAGGCGGTTCCCAGTCGATCGGCGGCTCCAGGTTCCTCTCAGGCTTGAACTTTCGCGCACAAGCAACCGAATGTCTGGAGAGTTTGCCCTTCTGGTTGTCCTCGAACGGACAGTTCGGACACTGGTGGAACGCGGGTGCACGTTCCAAACGACCGCGCACACAATGTTCACCCTCCATGTGATAGAGAATGTCGTGCGGACTCCGCACCTCGTACGCGCAGAAGTTACATCTGTATACAAAGTTCTTCATGTGCGGTGTCTCCAGATGGAAGGCCATGGCCAGGGACGACTCCGTTTTGTAACTACAGAACTCGCATTTCTTCATGACCATCTTGTACGGTTGATTATTCTCCTTGGTGTATTCGAGACTCTTCAGCAACGACTGAATAGTCTTCATCGTCGCCGAATTCTGACCGCCTTCGCGTTCTCGTTTCCTCTTCTGCTGCTTCAGGAGATCAGTTTGCACGTATTCCTGCACCAAACTGTTGCCGATATCGACAAAGAATTTTCCTAAAATAATAAAATATTATGTAATTTTTGTTTTTCTTTTTCATTTAACTGCAATATCTACGTACCGATTGGACTATCAAAATACGTGTGTCTTTTCGTTTTGTCTTCGTCCTTCTTGTCTTCCACTATCGGGACTTCCTCAATATCGTCGTCCTTATCTTCTCCGTTTTCCCTTTCCTTCTTTTCTTCCTCCTCCAACATCCTTTTGATCTCATCAGCTATTGTCTTTATACTGTCTTTAAGATTCTTGACGGGTGGTTTCTCGTACACGTAAGGTACTATAAAAGAAGGAGCCTCGACGACAAACATGTCATCCGTTAGTGATGGTAAGATGGGAGGCTGCTGTGCAACCATCGTGACCGATGAGGAGGATGACGTTGTCGTTGTTTTTTGTGTAGAGGTGGTCATGGGGATGGGAGTGATTGTGGCGCGCATATTTGGAGGATACACGCCTTGGGCGGGAAGGGCGACTGGTAGATTGGAATACGAAGATTGTCCGCTCGACTTTTGGGAAATGGGAACAGGACCGCGGCCCGACAAGATGGAATTAGTATCAATAATAACTAATGTCGGCTCTTTTTTACCCGAATTGCTCGGTGAGGATTTCGAGGCTATTTCTACCAGGCGCTTGGTATCTTTAACTACGATAGTCGAACTAGCACGTTTTTTAGGCTTGTCACTTTGATGATGATGATGATGATGCTGTTGCTGCTGCTGATGCAGAGTATCGGCTAGAGGATCCTGAGGTATTACTTCTTCAATATCCGATTCGTCTGAGGGGGTATCTCTCATGTCCACATACGTCTTGCTCTTGTGAAGATTTCTGGAGCTCCTGCGAGGCGTCACGCTCGCAGGTTTTCCAGACGTCGGCGTCTTCTTCACGGGCGTACAATCCAGATCAATAACCTCTGGCTTTTCAGGGGTCGACGTACCGTTTTCCTTGACATCACTATCAACGATCATGATATCGTCCACTTCGTTCGAATCGTTTAATACCACAATTTTTGTGCTTGCACTATCTTTCACGGGCGTGACGTGCGTCACCTCTTCTTTCGTAATCTGTACGACATCGTCATCACTGTTATCATCAACGGCGTGCACTTCGTCCACGACCTCCTCAACCTCATCATCAGCTTGCTCCTTGTCGCCATCCTCATTGCACTCAATTACAGTGATATCGTCCTCCTGTTCAGCGCTTTCATCAACTTCAGCCCTGTGGCTGTCAACCTCTTCCTCCTCCTCCTCTTCCTCCTGATGACTATTATTGTCATCCTCATCCATTTTATCTAATTCAGGCTCCTCCACTTCCTCAGCAGCTGCTGCTGCTTCTTCTTCTTCTTCCTTGTGCTCCCCATCCTCTTCCTCCTGTGTCGTCATATCTTGACTATTCTCATCTGAAACACTGTTGGCAGTATCCTCTGTACTGGCATTCTCAACGATCTCCTCCTCATCCTCTTTCTCCGGTTCCTCCTCCACTTCTGGTTCATCCTCTGGCTCATCCACTTCCATCACTTCCACATCACTCTTCTCTTCCACCACAGTCCTCTTCTCACCCTCACCTATATCACCATTCATCACAACACCTTCTAAAACAAAAACAAAAATTTAAAAAAAAAAGTTTGACAAAGAATTAAATTAACAGTACCTGTTACATTGTCATCTTTTATGTGGATATCATCGACTTCTCCCATTTCTACAGCAGCTGCCATATCAGAATGTCAAACCTGTCGAGAGAAATAAACAAAATAATTCACAATCACAAACACTGTTTTGAATACACTTGTGTACTTAAGCTTCTATAACCTAAAAAAAAAACTAGTGGTCAAGTGCAGATTTGATCAGTATTATGTACGTGCTCGGAGGCTCCATGTGCCGCCAGTCTATGTAATGGGCTTAGGCGGTGAACGCTCTCGGTTTAACGCGAAGAAAGTTGAATGACAACATAACCTTAAAGTGCAAACGCCAGATGCCATTGAATCATAGCTGTAAGGTGTAATCCATGATTTATGATGTCATGGTATTGCAACGAAAATGTTCGCATTCGTGTAACGAACATTCCTTCGAGATATTTGATGGTCGTGAATACGAATGTTTGTATGAATAGTAAAATAAGAATTATGGTATAGTAGTTTATCGGCGATGATATATATATATATATATCTTTTTAAGGAAATAGTATCATTGTAGGGCCAGTGCTACCAACACAGAGAGAGAAGACTACCACCAAACAAAGATATACAAAACAAAGTGTAGATTGTTGCTAACAACTATTGTTTTATTGCGGATGAGCGAAGATCGTTGGGGCATCGAAGGGTGGGTGTTGTTATTGTTATTTACCTAGGACTGGATCATATCCCGCGCCAGAGACGGCGGGCGACACGCTGCTGCTGCCGCCGTGTTTTCCCAGCAATGCGTGTTGTGTTGTGTTGTGCGTCGTATGGAAGAATTGATAAAGTTGTTGTTGTTGATGATGATGATACTGTTGTTGTTGTTGTTTTGTGTATGTGTGTATGGTGTAATTTGTCAACACGGCATTAAAACAGCTGCACACCGCCAATAGTAGAGTAGAGAACTTGTGACAATCGTAAACAGCCGAAGCGATACGCGCCTTATTGCCGATATTCAAACGTGCACAGCACACTCAACTGATGATACTGAACGTTTTCTACGCGTTTTTCTCGACGGAAATCGTCGGATTCGATGGCATTTCCACGCGGATTTCCCCACAGGAGATCACCAAAGGAAGACGACGTACCGTCACACGCACACCAACAAACCCTCAACGCTGCACTAAACTGCCAATATGGCGTCTAACGGTGCGATCACGTGACCCGAATTTGTGACGTACCACTCCATTCCGCGATGTCTTGAAATTTTTTACGTTACGTAAGCAAACCGGCATAAATAATAATAACAATCATAATCATAGCAAAAGTATCGATCGCCCCCCCGACCCCGTCGCCCCACACTCGCAATACGTGGCCATTTGCGGTCGGATTTTTCGAAAATTCAAATGTTGCTTTTTTTTTCGAAAGTTGCGCTCTTTCGAATCTCCCGCCACCATTTCGCATGGCCATATCCTGTATGCCCTCTTTTTCCTGCAAGCCAACTATTGCACACTATTTCCGAGTTAGTGATGAACTAAATGATGATGATCAAACTAAGCAATTTGTAGAGTTGAGCGCATCTTTGCGAAAACCATTTGTTGGTAACTTTGAAACTAACGAAACTATTGTTAAAGTTATATTTTTACAATAAATGATCATTAAGTAATCTCCATTACAAATATTAAAAGTTTTGAAACATTAGTTGTAACAGTGTTACGTACATTCCATTTTTGATATAACTTTCAAGTTTTTAGTTTAAAAAAAAAGAAAAGGAAGATTATCTTTATTTTCTTGCCTCAGCATCGATTTTATGCATTACGAAATCGATTATTTAGTAAACATTTGTTGGATGTAAAAAAGTTAAGAAAAGAATATGTTCTTAAAACAAACGAAAAGTTTTCAGTGTGCTGTGAAATATACAAAAACAAACGATTTTACGAATTATGAAATTGCATTATTTATGGAATAGAACGAGTCTTCTATTACAATAATACATAATTAATAATTATTATAATGCGAACGAATACATCGATTAGAAATTAAGGATTAATTGACTGCCATTTGATTACTCAATCGTGTGTGTCTCACCTGTTCAATCCGCGCAAAAAAAGAAACGAAGTTCAGGACCAAATACCAAAAAAACAAACATCGATGCGAATTATTTATTATTATTATAAATAAGATAAAAAAAAAGGGGAACAAAGAAGGGAACAACTCCCTTCGTCGTCCATTGATCTTATAGCCTAGCTAAAATCGATCCTTCTTTTGTTATTATTATTACGTTTTACTTTTTATCTTCTCTTATTCTCTAGTTATCGATGGACGCGGTTTGATGATGGAAGAATTTCAAAATGGTGTCCTTCTTTTTAGAAAGTGCCTCTGTATGTGTGCATACATATATTGTATGTGTATGTGTGTGTGTATGAGAATGGCTGGCACGCTTTTAGTTAGTCCTCTCTTCTCTTCTCTTTCCTCCTTTGGAGTTTGGCTTTTGAGAACCGTTGGAACTGAGATAGTAGTAGTAGTGGAGCTCCAACTCTCCACAACCATCTCTCGCCTTTGCTGCCAACAAGCGGACACCCCCCGTTCCAATAGTGGTTTCGTCCGAGCCTCATTTTGTTCATATACTCTGTATCTAATAACTTTTTCTTAACGTTTGTTCCGGTCGCGCTCCTTCTTCTTTCTCTCGCTCTCTTCCATCCCGCTCACTCTCTTGTCCCCCTTTTTCAGCCATCTCTTTCTGCATTGCCATCCGTCTCCTTTTTGTTTTTTCTTTCTTTCTTTATTATTATTATTTAGTTACATGAATAACGTGTATAGACAAGGAATGGCGAAAGGACCAGGGAGAATTTGTTGCATTTTGGCCATTCCTCCATTTCCTCCCTAAGCAAATGAACAGAGCGAGGAGAGAATCCTTTGCTAAATTTATCCACTCTATATATAGCCGCAATTTGGTTCTAAGCTTTATTGATCATATCATCGTCTCTCTAGCAACATTATCCTTATACTAAACTAGGACTCTACTTCTTCTCACCTTCCTCTCTCCATCTTTATCATCCAACATCATTTGGATCCATAATTTGTGCAATTTTTTGGATACACATCTCTCATAAATATATCTTATTATATCAATGTTTCTTTTTCTCACAGAACCTAATAATCAATCTTCCGAAACAATTGAAAGCGCAACGTTTGCTGATTCTAGATCGAAAATCATTCACACGACCAAAAAATAACATCTTTTGTGCAGAGCAAACCTCTAACGTAATCATACATTACGAATACCTCATCGTCAGCAGGTGATTCATGTTTTTCCGGTCAAGGTTGATCAATTCCAAGTATCTCTCGACGCAGGGATGAGATTCAAATATTCACAAGCAAATATTTATTTTTTAAAATCAGCTCAAAATTTAATTCCCTTTAAGAATTTTTCCTTAAGATTTGAAAAACAATAGAAGAATTCACTGAAAGTAGTAGAGCTTTCATTCGTTTCAGCAAAAATGAAAAACCCAATGATAATATAGTTATGGTTTGTTTTTTTTTTGTTGGTTGAGAATGGATAAAGTGTCGATGTAATTATTTGTTTTGGAAACATTGAATCATTTATTTATGCGCCGGAGGGGTGAAACAACTCTTTGTCTCTTCCTCTCGCTCATACACACACACACACACATAGAGATACATTGCAGTATATTCCTATATCGTTCTCTCTCTGTCTCTCTCTTTCCAATTGTTTACATAGCACACAGCAGACGTATCGATTCGAAAGGAGTTGTATGAATTTAAGGCAACGCCTTTTGGTATTTCGCTTCCACATTTAAACAAAAATCGATAGATTAAACTTTCCTCAAACGCTTATCTCTTGTTTCTGTCGCCCGCACAGAACGAGACAACAAAAAAAACAACCAAAGACTCGAATATGAAATAGCTCTGACTGAAATTCAGGAAAAGTCTTTATATGTTTTTCCTCGATTTTCATTATTGCAACATGATAATTTTAAATTTCATTTTAAATTAAATTTATAATATATATATATATATTTATATGCATTTCCGAGCTTCACATAAAATGAAATCAATAATTAATTATAGCATTCAAATATTTATTTATAGTTGCAAATATTTAAATTAATTTTGAAATAAATGTACGCATTTCATATGTTTTCAATTTCGTGTGGATTTTCAGATTACGAAAGTCAAGCAATCCGTGCAACTGACAGTAATTGGATGGTGTTGACATATGTCAAAATTTGACAACTGAGCATCAGGTATTTTTGTAGATTTAGTACTTTGATTGCTTATTTAGTTCACTTATTGCAACAATAATAATAAAGTTGAAAACGTGTACTCACCAGAGGGGTTTCTTGTACTAAATGTGTTTGTACTGTTTTAATCGTCGTCCTGCTCTTCGTCGAACGAGAGCAACGATTTGGTGGTACTCGTTTTCGTCTTCTTGTCCTTTTTCTGGCGTTTCCTTGGCACAGGCCTTTCCTCTTCCTCCTCCTTATTTTCCTCCTCAACTTCTGGACACTTCTTTTTCGGTGCTTTGAACACAATCGGCACTCTCAGATCCGCCGGTTTCTCCTCTTCTAAAGAAAAAGAAAAACAAGACATCAATAACAACAAAATTTGAAAAATCCAATTTTTGGAATTGAAAAAAAAAACTAAGTAATGTTACAAACTTAAATAGAAATGTTCTTGAAATGCCTTTGGGCCAAGAGCAACACAATTTATATAATTAATCTTTAAAGTTTATCTCAATAGAGTTTTTTTCCTTCTTAAATTTATTATGTAAACAGTATTAAGTCTGAAGAAATGAATAGAGAAAACTTGCATTTAAGCAACCGAAGATTTATATTGAAACTGAAAAATTTATCATTTTAGTGGATGTTACAATTCTCTTCAATATGTATTTATAGTTATCTATAAGACTTTATCTTAAGTTTAAGACAATGAAACGCTTAATTTAATTAGTAATGAAAAGATCTAAAAGTGATCTAAGAGGCATTCTTTCTGACAACTAAAACAAAATGCGAATTTTCGAAGAAGCAAACTAAGTTTTAAAACTTAATACTTAATGGAATTTTGAAAGTTTTCTTTAAACTAATTACTACAATCTAAACTAAATATATGTTGATTATAACCATTCGGGGAATCCCCACAAAGAAAGGAAACAACAAGACCACAACCAAAAAAAAAATGAAATGTTCCAATGAAAAATTCCAATAAAAAGAATGAGGAAGTACGAGTCTTCCAGACGAGAGATGTTTTTTCTTGGTGCGAGAAGGTGGTAAGAAGCACCTACACGAGAATCGATGGTCGGAAAAGTCTGGAAACCAGAGTGGCAAGGATGTGTTGGTTGGAGCAGAGACGAAAGAAAGAGAGAGAGAAAACAAAAGGGAAAAGAAACAAAAAAAAAACAGCAACTGAAGAAGAAGAAAAAATAGAAGAGGAAGAAGAAGAAGGACGAATAGTGTATAGGAACAAGGAACAAAACAATTGCAATTCGTCTAATGCAAATTTAATTTTCCCCTCGCGCCTCCGCTGACGTCATTAATAAAAATACATTTTCTCCTCCGGATCCAAGATGGCTGTCTATGTATAGTGTATATATATATATGTATGTATGTACTTGGTACATAATAGACTTATATATTTATATATATATATCTGTCTCTCTCTCGAAATATATATATATATATATATATATATATGTAGACAAGTATATAGAAGCCGTTCCGGGTGAAACCATTTTCGAGGAAACGGGGAGTAAGCTTCGAAAAAGACGCATGAAAAGAAAAAAACAACCATCACGTACATATATATATATATTGTTATATATATATATATATGTTCAACATGGCGTCCATGGACCACGTGACGCAAAGTGCGATAACAGCCCATCGGATTGGTTAATATTTTAATTCCAACTTGGTGTTACTATGCCAGCCATAGGATTTTGACCGGATTGATTGGAGATGCCGTGAAAGTTGCCGGTCAACTCGAGCCTCAACAACAACAGAGGCTACACACACACTCACACAAAAAAAGTCCAACAAATTAATAACGTTTCAAATTTTCCCGCCAAAAATCACGAAGACTGCAAAGCGTACACCACCTTCAGCAATATTTACAATCAACTAGCTTTTCCGATTCCTTCGCTTTGGCGCCGCGTAATTACAATTATCGTATAATTATCGAGCATTATTAATTGATGGAAGAAAACAATTCGCACGCGGTTCGCCGACTTTTCCTTTTTCCACCCGAATCGAATTCAATTGTTTTAACCGTAGTTATGGAAATGAAATAAAATCAACAAAATAATGTTTACTTTTCGCAGTTATTTTAAAAGATCTTACGTATACAAATACTTATACTTGTTTAAGATCATATTACAAATATGAATATTTTGAATTATATTTGAAATGTCTAAGCAAAAATATGATTAGAAAATACATTCAATAAAGAATTTTTAGTTAAATATTGAAATGAATAATACGATTCTGATATGTATTTCCTTGTTTATTTAGTCAAAGAAATATGACCAACGAGGAGAAAACGTAAGGTTTACAGCGGATTTTTCTTAATCTACACTTTAATTAAGTTATTGCACACATTTTCAAATAAATTGACGTAGACGTCAACTTGACAGATACGTTTGTTTGTTGTTTTTTGTTTGAACTGTATTGGATGTGAAGTTGTCTACGGTGTTTGGAATTGTATTATTGGTGCGTAATTAAAATGGTGTTAATTGCATAATCAGCGGTAATGTAAGGATAAATGCATGCGACTGGTAACGCGGCAAACTTCAGTTCGGTTATGAAAGGGGCGCATGCAGCGTGCGACATTGCCAATGCACCTGGACGAGGGCCACGTTTCTGGTTGAAAAAGAATGTACCAGGTCGTGGTCGCGGGACCGGCTAAAACGGCGTGAGGATGGCCGGTAATCGCGACGATCAGAGAGGATCGGTGCGGGGGAGAGGTTGGACGATCGAGGTCCTTGTTCGGCGGCGGCGGCAGCATCGGCAACGCTGTGTGGTGTTATCCGCGAAGGACCCGAAAAATACTGCACAAATTTCAACGCCTCCTCATCCTTTTCCTTCGAGAGTTATATCAGAAAAATCATCTTTTTGTTTTGCTTAACCGTTTCACGTTAAGTGAATGAATTCGTTCGATTGATTCTCTTTGCTGTTGTCTCACCTTGCTGCTTGTGCTGGTCAACTTCTTCGGCGGTCAAATCTCCGGGCTTGAGGACAACGACGGTTGGAAGTTCGTCGTTGGTGTCTTCGAAGTCCTCGGCCTGCAGACGACGTTCGGTATCCTCGCGCTGCAATACAAAAATACAAAAAAGAAAAAAAGGTCAAATCCGCCTAGGCATTAGTCTCATCTAGCCAGCGCACAACAGATCGCCTAACCTAACCTACTTTTGTGTCAACCGTGGGGCCCTCCTTGTAACCCACTTGCTCCTTGATCCTCTTCAAGAAATTCGGTTCTTCGGGCTTTATGTACGCGATATTCCTTTTGGACATTGCAACATTCGCGGCACCAAAGGATTCCCTTTCCTAATTGCACTTGTGTGTGTGTGTGTGTGTATGTAGTGTGTATACTTTTATAACTAAACAACTACTTCTTCCTGGATGAGGCACTTTCGAACGAGATAGAGAGAGAGACACAAAATACGATGATAATAATAATAGAAACTTAACGACGATATCTGTGGTTACGGACGCGAAAATCTGTCTACACAACTAACTCTATATGTATGTATGTATTATGTATATACATATATATATCAGGCAGAAAGACGAAGAAAAAAAAAATTTAGTCGTCATCAGAGACGCACGAGAGAAAAAGATCCTTCTCCTTCCTCCACTATACGAGCGCGGCCAACTCTGGCTAACTAACTAACTAACCATCAGCGATCCTGGCTCAGACTGAATTTTACATCACGTTGTTCAAATTTACCGAGCGAACACATTTCTTCCTTCTTCGTCCTCTCCCTCGTTCTCTTTCTATCTCTTTCTCTCTTTTCCTCAGGCAAACGTTCCGTTCCTCACTCTCTCGCTCATCCCGCCGTCTCTTTCAATCGCGCGCTCTCTATCTCTTTCTCTCTCTCTCTCTCGTTCGTTCTGTGTTTTGTTGGGTCCCAATATCCCGTCTGAAACTTTCCTCACGTCCTTTTTTTCCCCCCCTCGGAGAACGAACGAACGAACACGTCGCTCTCGAGTTCGCTCTCTCGCTCGCTCTCCTTCTCTCGCACTCTCCACATTCTATCCCATCCGTGGGATAGATTTTTCCCTTTTTCTTTCCAATTTTCTTAATCACTCTTAACCCCCTTCATTTGATGTTCCCTTCTTTCGTACCCTTCTTTACCAGGAAATCCATCCGTTGTCTTTCGATACATTTCGCGCGCTTCTAACTTCACCATTTCTTTCCATTAATTTGGAACAATTAATTATTTTCAAATTCGAATGCGTTCGCGCTGCCGCAACTTCCGATCGCCATTTTTAAGAAGGCGAAGAGAATTAAAGCCTACTATATTCTTCATTCATATCCGATCAAATACTTTTCAAAAGATTCGACTGTTTTTGTTTTACAATTGTTTTATTGTTTTGTTTTCATATTTAAATATAATCAATAATTATAGCAATCACTGAATGAAACCTTTCTTCCTAGACTAAATCTAAATTATTCATGTTTAAACATTGTTAAGTCGAAATAGTTTCTATATTAGAAAATATATTTTTTGATTTTTTTGGGTAATTTTACTTAATTTTCTTTATTTCATCGCTTTTCATTATTGTCATACTTGCTAAATTACACTTAATCAATAATAATCACAGCAATTTACTTGCGTTAACATGAATTACAGTTTTGGTTCTTGCATAAAAAAAAGCTTCTTGATGACTTAATTTTATTTCTAACGTACAACTTTTTTCCCATCTTAACGATAACAAATATTGTCGTTTCTACTTGGTTTTAATAAACAATTCTAGGTTTAGATTACTTTCTTTTCAATTTTCGTCTTTGTTACAAAATATTTTATTATGAATTTTCAATTTTCGCGCTCAAACAAACGTTTTGTTGTTGACAAATACAAACATAGCCTTCTTTCCTTATTCGAGATGATCTTAATTAATCACGCATCTTTGCGGAAGGCACATGGTCGATAGATTTTTAACGAAGAATTTTCTTATGTATACCTTTCGAACTGACGTCTAATCTGATGTGTGTCAATGAGGGAAATAATATGTACACAGTGAAATCTCCTATAAGCAGTTTTCATAAATTATACATTTATAAATACTAAATTTTTGGTAAATTTCAATAGAGATTTCAATGTGTGCTTAGGAATAAATGGAAAAAAAGAAAATGAAAAGTTTATTGTTTATGCAAATATTACAGTTTCCTTTATCGTATAAGATAGATAGATGTATATATACAATCGTGTAAACGTATAAATGCACGAAAAACAAATCTATTATTTAATTTATGATGCGACGTTACACGTTCGGTAACAAACAAAACGTCCGTAAATTTTAATTAATATATTTAATATTTCGTTTAAATATATATATATAGATTTATATATAAATTATAAAAAAATAATGAACAACAAATGATGTATTTTTTTTTGTTTGTTTGTTTTGTGAGAGTGTCTTTGGTCTTGGAGAGAATTGTTAGCCCACGAACCTGGAAACATTACGATTGGCGCGTCTAATTATTGTCCGTATACTATCTAAGATTCGTTGAAACACGTTTTTGAATCACTTCGAAAGAACAACAGCAACAACAACCCATTCATTCATCGAACGACGATGATAATAATACTTGACAAAATTGGAAAGATCAGCATCAGCAGTTACAATTCTTGAGGTTTACATCTTATACTTTTTTTATTATTATTTATAAGAGCTGGCCCCGAGTACAATTCGCAAGCTTAAGATTAAGTAAGCGAAAATTTAACGTTCGAGCAAAGAGGGTGGTCGTTCGTTTTCTATTATTATTCGACCAACGGAATCGAATTATGTGTGATATGTGAATTAAATCTTCGATTTTGCCGTTTCAATGTTAAATTTAAACTAGTTTACGAAAAGAAGGAAACGATTTGATTACGCTAACAATACTGAGATTAACGGTAGTAAGGCCTAAATATCGAGAGGCATTTTCTGGGTGTTTGTTTTTGTTTTTGGTATATAAAAGATGTAATTGAGGGGGGTGTATTTAGAGGCGGGTGGCTTCGGAGCTGGTTGAAACCACTCTCGGGTAGGTTTGGGTCCTTCGGGCGCTGTAGTAGCCGAAGTTTGGGTCGCTGGGACTGGTGACGCTCTGCCTGGGGCTCTGGAAGAATCTGCTTTCGGCCGTATCGTGACCAGGAGACGCGTCCTCGTTGAATTCGCATGCTTCGCTCGCGTATTTCGGAACGCCCAGAAGGCTCTCCGTGGATTTCGTCTGCACGTATTTCCTTTGCGTGTGCGGAGTGTAGATCATCTGCTGCTGCTGCTGCTGTTGATGTTTCTCCGTTCGCACGTATTGTGTCTTTTGAGCGCGCTTGGTTTTTGCAGAGTCGACGTAGCCGTACCCGAAGCCGTAACCACCGAAGGCTTTCGTGGCAAGGTTGTCCCATGATTTCGGTTTGACCTGGTTGTATTGCACGTAGATGGGTTCGTATTGCTTCTGGGATTTCACCGAGAGCTGTCGCGAAGAGTTCATGTCCGAGCCGTCCCAGTAGAGGGTGTCCGTGCTCAAGGAAGTGGTGTAGCTGGTGGAGCTTTCGCCGACGGTTGTCGGAGCCATTCCGCTTAGTTCGCTCGAGGTGCACGAGTGAAGACTGCACTGGCTCACCAGGCCTGCACCGAACTGGAAGTACCTTCGAGGCGCAGAATGCGTTTGGGTTTGCGTTTGGGAAGACGTGGAATGCGGTCTCGTTCGTTGATGTTGATGCTGCTGCGGCTCAGTCTGAGTCTCTTCCGTCTTGGAGTCTCTTTTTCTATGCTCCTTGTGTCTGGAGCGTCTACGCGAGGATGGCACACAATGGGGATCACAGCAGGGACTCGCCAGATCGTAAGCTTCTAAGCTGGTGTTGTCGGCGTTGTGGTTCGGTTGGATGCAGGGGTTGCACAGCTGATTCGTGTACGAATGTTCGTGCGCTTTTTTCGTCTTCGCTGTAGGACCAACGTTCGATTGCATCTTCGGCTTCTCGCACGGCGTCTTCACTATGAAATGGTGCTGGTCCCCTTGGTATCTGGGCTGCTCGAAAGTCAGCAGATACTCGCCCGAATTGCTCGTGGAAGGTTGAAGCATGTACCTGTAGTGAGGATCCAAATACTGGTAGGCTAAAATGAGCGTCGGCTGTGCGGGTTTCTGTTGAGCTTTCGCGGCGACGTCTTCCGTGGATACAGTCGGCCTGCAGTACGAATAATTCGCCTGCGTCGGCGTCGACGTCTCGTCTACAACCTTCGCATGGGAAGCCTTCTTCCGCGCCGGCAAACTGTGCGTTTTCCACTTGCCCTCCAGCAGCTGACGTTCGCGCAGACAAAGCTTCTCCAGCTCGTTCATCTTGCTCTGCAGAATCCTCTGCAGCTGGATATACCTCATATGAAGCTCCACCTAAAACAAGCCTTAACTTAAGAAACGGGCCCCCACGTAAAGAGCGCAACGCGATACACTTACCTTTCGAACGCAATCTTCGAACAGCACGACCATCCGCATCCTCGCGTCGCATTTCTTAATGAAATTCACTAAGGTCTTGTGATCTGCCTTCTCCATGTCGCTGCCGTTGATGGATAGGATGACGTCGCCCTCTCTCATTCCGGCTCTGTAAGCAGGTCCATCGTAGTCCACGTAATCCACGTACGTTATCATCTCGATTTCCTGCTCCTTCTTGTAATGGATTCCATAACTTTGAAGCGTGAATCCGAACGTGCCGTTCTTTTTCTCCACTATTATAGTCCTTCGGCGGCGATCCTCTTCGGGCTTCGTCACCGTCACGCGATCCGATTGGACCCTCTCCAATATCTGTGACTGGAAAACACAATTAGTCCGGCCGCCGCAAATGGAATAAAACGTTTTAATACAAACAAAAAAAAAGTGCATGCACGATTTAAATGTAAATCGATCCAATTCCACGAATTCCTAATCAATTTACATAAGTTTATCATTATTCGATCCTTTACAATCAACATTTCATTCTCTGACTATATATATTTTTAGTCAATCTACATATTTTTGCAGAAATATGTCAATAGAAATGTAAATAACTAATATTTGTATAGTCTTGATAAAATGTTAAAGCATAACAATTTATTAATTACATCAATAAACATGACGTGTTTTAATAATACTATAAAATTGTAAATATTATCACAATAAAATAAATAAATAAAATCACACTTACTAATAACAATAATTAACATACAAACGTAACACTTCTTTATATTTTTTGTTGTAATTATATGATTGAAGTAGTAATGTTTTTATTTTAAATTTTGTTTACATGCTCATGCATCTCAATCAACGACAATTAACATATAATAAGACAATTGAAAATAGTTAGGCTAATTGATATTAATTAGTAGATCAACTTGTTTCATTTATGTGATTAGGAAACACTGGACTAATAACGATGAAGTCAAACCTTTATCAAATTTGCATGTTCTTAATAATATAATTACATTTGATTCGTTCTTAATATAAACATAGATCAAAGTGCACAACAATCTATAATAATTGACATTTAAAATGATCACGACTTTTGATATAATCAAAATAGTTTTGTTATTGATATATGCACTTGTCGACATTGAATATTCATGCAAAGTTTACTTTTCATTTTACGTTGAAA